CGCGCTCAGGGCGCGGTCTGCAGAGAGAAAGACAGAGAAAGAGAAACTTAACGAGAAAGAGAGAGAGAGAGAGAGAGCGAAAGAAAGAGAGCAGGTGCTCTGGACGGCGCGATCAGGCGCGCTCTGACATACGCTCCAGAAAGGCGCGCTCAGAGCGCGCTTTGCAGAGAGAAAGACAGAGAAAGAGAAGCTTAAAGAGAGAGAGAGAGAGAGAAGAAAGACAGCAGGGCGAGCGCGCTCGTGTGCTATGGACGGCGCGCTCACGCTAATCACCACAATCAGGTGACGAGGTGTGAGTTGTGGAAGGTCTTGTTTTTTGCTAAAAAATGTGTTGCTGAAAGCACTCTTTGGTGCGAGTGCATGATTTAAATGAACAGGAGTGGCCGGCGGTCATCTGTTCGCCACGCAACGCCCTCAAGGCATGAATGTTTCGGATGAATAACCCAGCACCTGCCCGGTTTATAGTTGACTATTCCCTTACCTTTCAGCAAGTGGCGGCTGCAGTGTCGGCTGTGGTGGTTGGTGGTGAGGAATTGGTGGCGGGTTGTTGCAGGGCATTGTTGATGTGGAGTGATGCCGGTTGGGGGTCAGTGTGAGGTTGATGCTGAGAAGGGGAAGCGGTATTGGGTTGTGATTGCGGTAGTGGATTGCAACTGATGTCAAACTGCTGGGGGCGCTTGAGAGTGTGTGAGAAGGGTAGTGAGTTGGTGGAGGTTGTGTCACTGCTGTGAGAGATGGGTGGTGTGTGGAGGGAATGGGCTGTGTTGTTTGGGGAGCCACTGAGGTGTCCATTGGTATTGTGGTGGAGCAGCAGGGTTGGAGTGAATGTTACCGGCGAAGAATAGTGTGGTTGCGCCGGTGGAGAATGAGTGTAGTATGGCCAGTTGTAGGACATGGCGGCTGCAAGTGAAAAGTCAATCCATGCGGTGAAACTGAAGGTGAACAATGTATGTCAGTCAAAGCGGTCAGTGTTGTAAGAAAAGGAAGTTGTTGTGAGAACAGGTTGAATTGAAAAACTTGGGTAAGGTTCACACAGACTGACGTGGGACAAGTTCCATAAATCATACTTCGAGCGAGAAAAGTCAGCTTCGGTTGTCTGAGGTCCGTAGTGGACTGTACAGTGGATTCTCTCCAATGAAGGAGTAAAAGACGCCGTAACGGCGCCCTCTTGGGGTTCACGCAGCTTACCGCAGTGGGAAGAAGCTGCGAATCACGCTTAACATGAGTGCTCCACGGAGCTGCGCTTCAGTGATGCGCGGTGAGCATTAGCACTTTAAGATTAATAGCTGCAATACCAGTCTAGAGCGCTCAAGCCTCAACCTGTGAGATGGCCCTGCGATGAACGGAATGGCGGAAGAGTCCAAGAACAATATGGTTTAAAGTTTAAATCAACAGATCATGCCACAATTGTCTAAAAATTGATGCAGGTACGTTCGGGCGATCGGTCCGAATATCTCTGCGACCTAGCTTCGTTGAACTGGGTGAGTCACAGAGTGCCCAGTTCCCCTGCGGTGGATCTGTGCGTGAGGTGGGGTGGAAAGGTAATAGGTTGCAGGTAAGTAGCCCTGCTGGAGCCGGGGTTTGACGCGCGCGCATATGAGAGCCTTACAGGCAAACATTGCCGAGGCCAAGGGCTTGACAACAATCCAGATGGTGACGGTGTTTCTACAGTAGTACATCAAGATGATCAAAGGAAGCTCAAAAGACCGAGCAGTACCTACTCGGAAAGTGGCCCCGTCTCGTAGCGCCTGTGTTTAGGTCCGGACACCCGTGTCTAACCCATCCTGGGGCACCTGCGCACAGGCCCCCGGGCGCGGGCCCTGAAGGGACCTTCTCAAATCCCTAACATTGTTGACATTTTTTGGGGGTCTTGTCCTTGTAGCTGCTGTTTGTGGCTGGTAGCAACATCCTCAAGTAGGTCTTTTGTTTGGCATGTTTTCCCTTGTTGAGCAACCGTGAGTACATCTTCCCAATCCTTGGTGTGAGGAGGGTATTTTGACAAACGCCTACAACTAGCATTCAGTAGCTTTCAAGAGTGGATTTCACTTGTTCGAACAAAGAGTGGATAGCTTTCAAGAGTGGATTTCACTTTTTCAAGCATATGCGCAACTGCAAAGACTATTGTAGGCGCTGGAGGTACTCTAGGTACTGTAGGGTGCTCTCTCGTGGCCTGAGGACTCTTCGACCAACATTTGTTTTCGCCTGGGTTGTTGGTCTTCCAAAAAACACGTCTGAAACATGGGCCCCAAAAGTATGTGACGCCGAAAACACGCCGAAAGCTCAGATCTCACTTTTTCCCGCCACAACGACCGCGTTGAGTCTGTTGGAGCTCTGATCAGGGGATGATGAAGATGATCATATGGTGACGAGGGTGACTATGTCATGATGACCAAAACAAAGAAGGATGAAGAAGGAAAAGAAGAAAAAGAAGGAGAAGAAGCAGAAGAAGACGAAGAAACAGAAGTAGAAGCAGCAGCAGCAGAAGAAGGAGAAGAAGAAGCATGAAGATGAAGATGCGTGTCGCGTGGCGAGAGGTGAGTGGTGATCACGAAGAAGGTGATGTGATGATGACGAAGATGTTGACCCAACCCCCTATCCCAACCTCTTCCTCCCACCTCTGCGCCCCGCTCAATTTGGTCACACGGTCAAATTTGATGGACAATGTTGTGAAATCGTGTGAATCGGTTACGATGCTGTGAAGCCCGCGAACACTTTGAGTGATGATGCAAGGACGTGTATGTGACACCGAGATGAGCAGGCAAGACATTCCTAGGACCTGCTAAAGACTAGAAACAGTGTGCGCGTTGCGTTGCAAGGGGAGCGGCGCACGGGCTTGGCTTGACTGCAGAAATTTGCAAAGCTGTAGGTTGGAGGAAGCACAGCGTACAAAATATTTTAATATTTATAGGCTAGGCTCATCTAGCCTGAACCGGGTGTCCTCCAAATAGCAAGTGGGTGTCCAAATTTCTACCCGCCCGGTAAACTCCAAAGTGCAACCTGGCAGCTTTATCCACGGGCTCGCAGCGTTTGCTGCAATTTGCAAACAATCAGCCCTTGCGCGCATCACGTGGCGTCCCATTCAAAACCATAATGATAGCAAATAGCACCAAGTTCAATTACCAGGCTCCATGCGCGCATTGCAACCAAGCCAGCAGGTCAAAATGTTGAAGCTTATGCCATTTTTCACTTTGATCTTCCATGTGACGCGATATTGTCCCCCCACTACCACATCGCCTCAACAAGCCGCGGTTCTATGAATCACGAAGCTTCAAGGCAACCTTCAACGGACGCGACTGTTTTACTCGAACAACGCTCACCTCGTCCTAAAGCCCCTCCAGAAGCTTAAAGCTTCAAGAAGCGCACACCACAAATTCAAACAGGTTGTGGCTGCCAGTAAACTGGCGCACCCAGCTAGCTGGCAGTCAAATAGCCTACCAAGGTTAAGCGCGCCCAGCTCCAAACCCCGGCCCTTCTGCTGGTCTTTGTTGGAAGGTGTCCTTGAACCAACGCAATTTAACAATAAAACCGTGACAAGTCCTTTATGCCAAACAGTTTTTGCAACACTTAATTACTCCAAGTGCAACGCGGTTGGACCCTAGGTATACCAAGCGTTCGAGGTTTTCCTGGCCAAAAAGATTTGGCTGGCTAAATTTTGACGGGTTTTCCTGGCCAAATGGATTTGGCTGGTCATTTGTGACGGGCTTTCATTTTCCTTATTTAATTGCCACGGGTTTTTCAAAAAAAACAATCACATTTTAGGGTTGGGGCCCGCATCTGAAACGTGACGGGCTTGCCTGGCCAAATCAATTTGGCTGGTAAAATTGTGACGGGTTTTCCGTCTCCAACCCGTTCATTCCTGCAAGGCCCCATTGATCGAGCTTGGCCGGGCGCAAGGCGCTGAAGCTTCGGGCGCACATTGCACCTACAAGCTTCAGGTGTTTCGTCCGACTGCTCCAAGCACAATCTTCCAATCCAAGATCGTTGAGCTTCCGCTCCTGAGCACCGATACAAGGTAAATGTCAAACCGAGAAAGTTTCACGCGTCCAAGCTGGGCATATTGAGCAATCAGCATATAAGCGCAGTGGTTGGTGCTTCCAGCTGGCTCAGGCAACCCCCGGGGCCGCGCAGACCTACACCAACACATGACTCCGCAGAGGGTCAAGAAAGATCTGGCAAATAGTGTGAAGTACGTCCTGGTCAAGCCTTTCTTTTTGCAGGTCCGACACGTCCACGTTCTCCATCCAAGTGCTTTAAAAATCTCGAAGCGAAAGCTCTATCAAAGTGTGGCGCAAAACTTTTGAAATAGTGGTGCTTGGCTGTGGCGCCAGAAGCGGTGGATGATGTTCGTGGTTGTGAGGAAGGAGATGGTCTCTGCGGACTCTTCACACGTAACGTCTCCATCGGCATCATATCTCCACGCTGGCATGGCTGCCCACTACGAAGAAATCTAAATTCTTGAAGTTCTATGACGGTATATATAGGTCAGTCTTGCGTGTATCAAGCGCATGTGGATGTTGCCTCATTCTTAGAGCTCTTTGCTTCCAAGCAGGACCAAATAAACGACAAGGCTGTGTTACACGCTTGTAACGGAGCCAGCAAGAAACTTGACAACAAGGTTCTATTCCAAATCAAACACCCACTTGCTTTTTGGAAGACACCCGGTTCAAGCTAGATGAGCCTTAATATACAGAGTGCATCATTGAGAGAAGAGTCTAGCTTGCGTGAAGGTCAGAGAGTTGTGTGCGCTATGTGTCAAGACTTCAGGGCAGGCAAGGCGTTCGTTATATATTATTTCCCAGGCGCAGTGAGTATAGAAGTAGATAGAGTAGCGCGCGAAGTGCACGCTCTCTTTCATAGAGCTCATGCAGCTCTGCGGGATTGACGCGCTACCTTGCAGATCTTAAGGGCTCGAAGCGCGCAGAAATTAATCATGTCCAGACTACCATCTTTGGCACTTTGTAAGACAAGCAAATGCAAGATCATCTGCTAGCACCGCTGAGGAAAATGGATTCAGGGGCCTATGGTCAGAACATGGGCTTTGGGTACGAGATGGATGGATGCGTCCTCAGCAAGCCCCAAGCTTTTGAGGACATATCCTTCACGTCGTCTTCCTCTATTAAGGTCAGAAAGGCAACGAGAAGGGCAAGGGCAAGGGCAAAGGCAAGGGCAAAGGCAAAGGAAAAAAGGGCAAAGGACTGCGCAAAGGACCGGGTTCTTTTGACTGACAGACAGACAGGCAGGCGCAGAGACAGACAGAGACAGACAGACAGACAGACAGACAGGCAGGCAGGCAGGCAGGCAGGCAGACAGACAGACAGACAGACAGCCATGCGTGCATGCATTACCTACATACAAACATATAAACGTACAAACATACAAACATACATACATACAAACAAACAAACATACATACATACATACATTGGCACAGGTACAGGGATCCACATGCTGCAGATCTCCTGTTACGAACCATGAGCTACCAGCTTCAAGAGGCACAGCAGGCAGTCAATGAAGAAACCATGCTCCAATACAAGGAGTGGCTGCAAGAGGGCCAGAAAAAAGGGCTTCGCGGCCTGTTTCGCAGCCTGAAGGTGAATTGGTATGGGAAAGGCCGTGCAGGAACAAATGCGCCAGCGGATGAGGCAGCGCTTGCAGGACTGGGGAAACCTCTGGCACATCAGACAAGACAACCAACCCCATCCACGAGCCAGCCTCCAACAAGCTGCGCAAGCACAGGCCCAGCAGCTGGAGCCACTGACTGCAGGACAGTTGCGCAAGATCCTGAAAGAAGCCAGTGGCCCAGATGCAGTGTCCACACAGCTGTTAAAGAGTGCCTAGAGGCAACGGCGGAGCTTCCAACACAGCTCCAGATGCACATCATGATGATGCTTCCCAAGAACACCAATATGGAGAGGCCCATCACGCTCACCTCCGTGCTTTGGAGGGTCTGGTGTCGACTCCGAAAGCCAATCCTGGACCAATGGCAGCGCCAGTTGCCGGCCCCAATGGATCACGATAGAAGGTGCCAATGTATTCCATGTGGCCTTAGAAAGACTGCTTCGACAAGAAGTCCATAAAGCCTGGAAAAACCATGGAGTCACAGTCCTGATGGATATGTCCACCTTCTATGACACCATCCAACTTGGCAAACTCCAAGAAGAAGCCCTCAAGCTCCATTACCCGCCACTGCTCTTGGAACTGGCGATGCAGCTCTGTACTGGACCAAAGGCGGTCATGGCTGAGCAGGAGATGACTCCGTTCTTTCGAGTTGGCCAGCTCCAAAGGTTGGGGGCAATCACGGGCATCCCAAGCAATCCCCAAACCAAGACCAGAGCTCTCCTTGCAGGTCTTGTAGCCCTTGCCAAGCATACCACCGCACCAGTGCGGGTCATTGTGCAACCCAGTGCCACGCGCAACCGCCAGAACACTGAGTGGCAGCAGGTGTTGGATCAGGACCACCAACTGATCTACCAGCATGCAGCGGCCAGGCTTGCAAAGATCTTCGCCGCCAAGGACCATTACATACACCAAAAAGCACCCCGGCATCAGGGCAAGCAAACAAAGCAATACAAGAAACAGTTGGTCATGCAGTGCCACAAGCCATCGACTTCCCCACATCACCGGTGGGAACCGCGCCGCAGTGGATTCCATTGCAGTGCGTGTGGCGTCCACCTGCATGAAGCCCTCACGGTGCCAGTCATAGAAGAGAGTCTGTGGCAGAAGGGCGATCGAGTGACCTGTCGCCAATGTGGACTCCAATTGCACCTTGATGCGCAGCAGAGAGTCATCCTGACAGGAGCCCTCAAGAAGCTACGCAAGGGTTCTGGCATCAGTGGGTCGCCGCCCCTCAGTGATTTCAGGAGGCAGGTTGAACAAGCCAGTCATCCAGACACCGCCGACAGGGCAGCGCAAGCATCACCCATGACGGACACACCAACCCAGACGAGACCCACTAGTGCAGGAGCACCAGCAGGCCATGATACCCAACCATTGCTGGTGACTCCAAAACAAACCCAAACACCGCACCTCACCTCCGCCGTCGCCATTGGCGCCAAAGAAGCTCTACTTCAGAGGCACTGATGGCTCTGACGAAGACAGGAGCAGCTCTTCGAGCCAGACAGCGCCCAAGAACCAGGCCAGCGCTTCGGACTGCACCAACGCACACCCTTCCTGGCCTCCACCTCACAGAGCGCGGCTGGTGAGGGCCAAAGCGCCACACGTACGCGCAGCAAAAGACACTGTAGGAAAATACATACATACGTACATACATACATACTTACTTGCTTACTTGCTTACTTAGTTACTTACTTACTTACATACATACATACATACATTAAACTACATACATACACACATACATATATACACAACACACATGGCTCAAGGCCATGAGTGTTCAAGCAGGCTCCCCGCCAAGCCCTGCTTGCGCGGAACCCCACTGGCCACATACGCTCGGCGGCTCGTGTCCCACCTTGGCGCTGGAACTACGTCCGTGATAGCGGGCATCAGTTCCACGCGCGCAAAGGCGCCTACCTCATCAATGTCCGGGATTTCAAGGGCCAGATCGCGATTGAGGTGGTGACCCTTTTGCTCGGTCTCATCCTGCGATGTGACTAGCTCCCGGACATCCACCGCCTACGCAGATCTGAACGGACAAGCTCCAGGCTGGCGCGCGCTGTAGAAAGTGTGGCAAATGGTGGCGTCAGAACTGGAGCGTTTACTTCCAAATCCAGAGGAAGCGCACCAAGCGCCGCCAAGAGACCTCGGACCTCCTGACATCCACCTGGACGACAATCGCGCCAGGGGTTTAAGCCAAGCTTCAAGAACTTGGATATGGGCCCGGCAAACCAGAAGGTCCCGAGCTCACAGATTTGCTCATGTCCCACATCGATGCGCTACCACCACAAGTGCAGGCACAGAGCTCTCACACCACCGCGGCCAATCGCAGAAAAGGATTGAAAACTCATGTCACTGATCTCAAGCAGATTTCGCTCTGCAAGAGCCAGCTCCAAGCCAAGTTGGACGACGTCAAGACCATCTGCGAGGACTACGTGAAAGCAAACCAAAGCCCACCTCCATCACATCTCAATGATGGTCAGGCCATGGAGATCGATCAGGTTCCAGCTGCATGCTGTTGCCAGCCTCGGAGTTGCCCTGTCAGAAGAACAAAAGACTCAACTCCACGGCCTTCTCAAGCGGCCGAACCAAGATGGTGATGACCCCACCAAGCGCAGGAAAACAGGCACGCAGACAAGACCAAACCTTGCGGGCAACGCTCGCAAACCCAACCGTGTTTTTGGGTTTGATCACCGCAGAAAGCGCAGCGCAACTCCTTTCTCTCAACTCCCACCACACCTGCGCGACAATTTTGACTTTTCTTGACTGCCTGCCACCTTGACCCATGGCAAGCAGCCTCTGACGATCGAGACGCCAAGTCTGCCCAGCGCCAGGACACCAGACCGGCTGGACAGTCCCGCCCACGCAGCGCGATTATGCAAAGCGCAACCGATCTGCCCACGCAGAACCTGACTATGATTGTTGGCGACCCATCCACCCGTTGCTACGGCTACGTCAACGCACCATCGACAGTCGCATGGATGCGCGCCACGCTCCAGGCAACCAACACCGCGCCCGGGGAACCATTCGTGAAGCTGTACAGGAACCACAGGAGACCACCGAACCAGTTCATCTCCATGCCCTCCCCAGCCTAGGGAGTCTTTGGAAAAGACATGATCTCAATCTTGAAGGAGACGCACTTGGTGGACCATGTGCAGCAACCCCTGATCGTCGACTACCAAGACGAATGGCGGGGGGAGGTCACACTTCAAGAGCTCATGAACTGCTGGGCCAATGAAGGAATGGCCCAATCCACACGGCAAATTTCGAGTTCGAAGATCCCTAATTCAAAAGCAGATCTTCTGCTGACTATGGCTGATCATCTCACAGGCCACTACTACACCATTCTCGTCTACCGTGACTTGATGTGGTTGGCTGATGATGGTCAGGTGACCCGTGCTCTGCCACCGCCCGAAATTCCGAAAGCCCAGATTTCGAGCCACCGCTTCATGAAACGCGCCCGGCAAGGCTGTCGTCGACTGATTGTGGACACGGGATCCTTGTCGAAACCCACCTCGAAGCCTCTGCCAGCACACGCCGTGAGAGGCAAACAAGCCTTGGAGTACCTGCTCATCCCAATTCCAACAATGCAGGGACACACCAAGGCATCATCGTCATTTTGAGAGACAGACACACGGACAGACAGACGCAGACACAGACACAGACACAGACACAGACACAGACACAGACAGACACAGAGACAGACACACGGACAGACACAGACACAGACGCAGACAGACACAGACTCACACAGACACAGACTCACACAGACAGACAGACAGACGGACGGACGGACGGACGGACGGACGGACAGACACAGACAGACACAGACAGACACAGACACAGACACAGACACAGACACAGACGCAGACACAGACGCAGACGCAGACGCAGACGCAGACGCAGACGCAGACAGACACAGACAGACACAGACAGACACAGACAGACACAGACAG